AGTACTTAAAATCAAAATCGAAAAAGGGTTGAATTTTCATTTCACATTTAGCCAACTGACACTGTACCAAGTAAGCATTTTGTTATAGGAGCCAAAAATGTATGTTAATTTTTCACTATTTCTTGTACCGGCCATTTTTTCGAAATATTTCTGAAAACTCCCGAAGGACCCCGTTAAAGTCCCGAGAGGCCCCGAAAAATCCTGAATAAATCCGAGAAGGCTACAAAAACTCTGAAAAGATCCCGAAAAATAAAGTACGAAGTAAAAAACCCGAAATTTCTCAAAAAGTACAACATTAAGAAACCTGAAACGTCTTTAATAAAGGCACATCGGCGAGGAAAAATCCTGAGAAAATTATTGTAGCGTGTCTGCTCACAGGTAACTGCAACCCCATACGTCCTGCACTGCCTTCGCGCTATTCTGGCTACGTAAACAAGCCTTTGACAAAACTTCAATCAATCAGGTTCTGCCTGCAAATATCCAAGGACAGTCCCATTTTGCACCTTTATACGTTGGGAGGCCTTAAAGACCACCTGGAGTCTGAACACATGTATGTGTATTTTGAGTGACCTAAGATAATAATTCAGTCATACCTTTGCTGTGTAGATTCTACAATGTTGATATCCCTTGCTGGCTGAGCCCATCAAATTTATCGAATCTTTACTAGTGGTCAGAAAGAAGATAAAGGGAATAAACTTCATGTGTATCTAGTTAGTAGAAGTGACTCTGTATTCCAAGCCGTGATATTTACAAACCTCAAGGGCATGGAAAATAGGTGGAGCTGTAGGTGTCTAGACTAGTTTGGCAATACATATAAGTCTCGGCTAAACTGTTTTGGTAAACAAAACGAAGCTTTTTTCTGTAACTATATTTTCTAGGTCCGCCAAAAACCCCTGAAAACGCAATGGGGGACCCTCATACATAAAAAATCGCTAGTATTAAAATTTGTTAAATAAACAATTGGGTATTTTTATTGGAAGTCTCGTGAAGAGAACCAGAGTTTTCCGATCGAAAAAATATTGATTTTCAAGAACTCTATAAGATTTCTACGAAATTTTTATTTTATTTTATTTTTTCACATATAAAATGCATGGAAAACTCTGAGCGCTTTGAGCGACCTCTAAATATTTTTTGATTTAAAAAAAAAATAAAAAATAGGTGTACCTATATTTTTTCGGTATAGAACAATCCTAGATTATACAAAAGCTACTTGAAATATTAAAATATGGTTTTCAAAAGGTGCGTTGAAAAGGCTCCATTCTTAAAACTACATGAGGGAGGGTTTTCATTGCAAATTTATTAGCTTTTCTGTTTATTAACTATTATCACACAGTTGGTTTCTTACAATCTTTTACTCAGCTGTTCACAATTTTGTTGTTGCTTCAGAGACATCATTTTTGACAGCTCATAAATAGAACAGGGTTGCCTTATAAAGTTTATTTTTTGCATATTTTGGACCACTGCGATGTCTCCATTAATACTGCGTACCCCGTTTTTTTAATTTAATTAATTTTATTTTTTTTTTTTTATTTATGAAAAAAAAATGGATTCCAGACCAAAGTGCAAAGGCGTAAAAATTTTTAATCAGCTATGTGTTACCCCGAACACCCTCGGGTACTCTACTAGTCAAATATCAATAGGATATATGCATAAAATTATAAGTAATTACCTTTCAAGCTAATTCAGTCGATTTGCACTAATTTTACATTTAAAAATTTGGTTTAATTTACAAGAGAAGAATAATGCATACACTCAAAAATAATATCAGGCCTCAAGTCATAATTTGCTTTCAAGCATATAATGATGACAGATGCCACAAGCCAGCGACAGCTTGTCTCACATGTATGTACTTGTATGTATACACATTTTAACTGTCTATTAGTAAAAATAAAAAATATGTAGTAAGAAATAAATAAAGAGTAGAAAAACGTTTTTATGCCAACTACCAGCTACTTCGTTTCTAGGAAACTGGGTAAAGTGTCGCTGCTGCTGGCGTTTCGCTGTAGTTGACGTATACGGTTGGCGTACATTGTGCCATATATTTAACAAAACGTTAAATGTACGTTAATACGTACATAAATAAGTAAGATGGAAAGCTGAGAAGTGACTTGGTTTATGCTAAAATAAGCCAGTGCGCGCTCGCGGCATATTAAAATATATGTATATATGTATGTATGTATATGCAAAGCGTCAGCCAAGTTGGCCAAGATGAATGGGATTGAGATATTTTTAGCGAGCGTGGGCGTATGAAGGAAGGCAGCAAAAAAAACTAGCACGAAAATTATAGATGGAGCTAGAAGGATTTCACGAAAATTGCTAGTTTATGCGGAAATGATGTAGAGTGATGGAGACGTTGTCATTTCAATATTCGTTAGGATGTCCTAGAAAATGGCAGGATGTTGAAACAATACATAAATAAACTCGTATCTACTTAGTTTGTGGAAGCTGTCAGAAAATTATATAAATACTTGGTGTTTATTTAAAAATATTTTAAAATTTACGCGACTAATTTCAAATTATGTAAACAAGGAGATACTTACTGTCGAGGGTATAGCTAGTCATCTTACTAGATAGTAGATATATATATTTATGGATAGTTTAACCATGAACCAGAACTGTGAAATATTGAAAATAAGGAGAACCGTAGTTTTTTTTAGTGTTGACGCCAGATCTTTGAAGTTTCCATATTTTGTAGGAAAAAAATATTAATTTTTTCGTAGAACTGCTTTAAAATATTGAAATTTTAATATTAAATATGCATCATAATTATATTATTGAAAATTTGTGGAAGGGAGTATTCTTATTCGATCAAAAATGATTTAAAAAAGTTTACGGTGTTATAGCAGTTCTATAGCAGAGAACACTCAAGACAGTACGAACTTAAAAAGCACGAAACGTTGTTATTTCAGAAATGTATTTTTCAGCGAAAGGATGTCGTACGGAAGAAAACGAATGGGTGCAGACAGAGTGTTCCAAAATAGTCAAGGGTACTTTTCTTACCTTGGGCTTAAACGGCTGTCTGTTTGTAATAGATGAAATAGTAAACGCAGTTAAATATGTATTTATCAGAAGGTAGATAAAAGGATTCGTATAAAAAAGTAAAATATTCAGAGGTAATAGAAGCTTTCAAATATCATCAATACCCTGGTGACATATACGGAAAGTTCTGTTGGATATAGAATTGGCAAGGAGTAGTATTTTATAGCGGTATCGCAGCAGGAACATTATAGAATACGCTTCTTTCGACGAAGCCGCAGCACGAATAATTGCAATAAACAGTTTATACCACCTCGGATGAGACGTAGTACTTTTGATGACGATCTGGAGCATCGGATTTGTGGATGGAGATATATTTTGCAGCCATTAATTCGCATCAAAGCGGTGCCAGTATTGCCAGTGTCGCACCTGCCACTTCTATTTAACAGGTCCCAGAACCATATATGCAATGAGAGACGGTGAATGGTAACGTTGGTGTAGGAAGAGACTGACGGCGGTTGATGTCGCCAGTTCTCAAAGACGTTGAAAGAACCGCTTTAGTGCGACTAGACAATTGGTGGCTCTCAACTGATGACAATATTGGTGACTTTCGGCGCTAACGGTGAGAATGCTAATGGCGAACAGTGAACGAGCTAAATAGTAGGTCACTCGATGATTACCACCAACGGTGAGAGTACTGGTAGCGACCGGTAGATGCACACGTGGGTCTTCCAGAGGTTTTTGGTAACGATGCGTCTGCTGGTGGATAGTCCAGGACAATCGGTAACAGTTATTGTGTTAATGGATAGTCCGGAGCTCCCGTAACAGTTAATGGTTTGCGAAAAGTTACCTATAAAAAGTGATCGAACAACTGGTGGCCGACGAAGAGCGGCTTCCACGCAACCAAGTGAGGAGCTGAATTGCATAAAGCAGCATTGGATCCTCGACCCATTAACTAATAAAACAATAACACCACGAATTAATCGCTCTAATTTGGACTGCGGTCGCTGTAGCCGAGCGGTAAGAGCTGCGTAATATCACTTGGTAAGAACATGGTTTGAACCCTGGTCGGAGCAACACCCTCCATTTGTGGCGTGCTGCGTTGAACTCGGCCTGAGTCGCTTAAGCTGTTATAGCGCCAATTAAACAGCGGAAAGAGATCTCAAAAAGTGTATTTCGCTGTGCAAATGCAAAGTAAGAAAAATTTTAGATTTTTCATAAATCATCCGCAAAACCCCTAATTTTTCCACACAACATCAATTTTGGTCAAATGACCCCATCTACTCGACACTATGCATTTTATTGCTGCTACTTTGTTTCCACTACAAAGCGTCGAAACATCAAAATTCAACATTCACTTTCGCCAAACTCTCACTGCATACTTTAGACAATGCAATTCGACAAGCAAAAAAAAAATATTGTTGCATGCAACATCCGTAAATACCTCCCATCATTAATGATATAGTATGTATGTATGTACATATGTGTACAATCATAAATGATTTGCAGTAACCGACAAAATGTGATATGTTGATTGAATGGACTTTTGTTTGCAATGAGGAATCGGATGTCATTGCGAATGTTGAGGAATTATTGCTGTTGCAAATACAAACGCAGTATGTGCTGCAAATATACGCCAGTCAGCCAAAAACAAAAAACAACCAATTGTAAAACATTATATGTACCTACTACAAGTGATGGATTGTCATTAACATAACTGCAACATCAAATGCTACAACAACATTAATCTGACTGTCGATGAGGCTGACTTTCGGCTTCATGCAACATTGATTTGTGGCAGTTGATGGCGCCTGTAGATATATTGATGAGCTATTCGAGTAATTGAGCCGGGGATGGTATCGAATCAGGTTTGGGACGAACGAAATTGTAACGGGTATACTAAATTGGTGGTTATTGCCCTTACGTGACAGTCGATGGATAATCGAAAAATTCCCAGTCATCTGCTAAATGGCACTTCACACACATACATACAAACAAGCAAACATTCACAGAGGAGGACTCACCTTAAAATAAAAGTTTGCAATTCCACAAATACTGTTGTGTTTCGTGTGTCACTACTGCTGCTACTCCTCCTCCTCTTCGTCTTCTTCTTCTACAGCGAGTGACGATGACAGTGGAGAAGTGTGAATGTCCCTTGGTTAGTTCAGAGTGCCGACAGGCAGGCAGGCAAATTCAGTTTCGTTCAGCAACAGTTGTTCCGTTGATTGGTAAGTCTTTTGTTATTGTTGTTGTTATTATTATTATTATTATAGTTGTCTTCTATGCGCTAGATGTATGTATGTATGTATATGAATATGTGAGTCTTTATTGAAATATTTGTGTCTTTTGTTGTTGTTTTGTTGTTGTTTTCATTTATTATTCCTCCTCCATTGAAGGCCACAACTATGCGGCTGGAATGACTTTTTGCTCTTTATGTTTGGCTTGTTGCTTTCGCTGCTGCTGCTGCTGCCTCTGGCTCTGACTCTGACTCTGCTGTTGCAGTTGTTCTTCTTGTGTTTGTTTTCCTTGTTGTTGTTGTTGTTGATGGTAGTTATTTGTTATTCGCTGTCGCTGTTGTCTTGTATTGTATTGTCTTTGTTGCATTTGCTGTTGTTGGCAATCGTGTTGTTGCAACTTAATTTGTTGCATTTTTGCTACCGCTACCCGTTGACGGCGCTGCTGGTTTGCTGTTTGTTGGCTGCTCGTTTTTTTTTGCACTTCCTCTTATTTTTCGTTTTCAGCCGTTGTTGTTTTTTGTTGTTTTATATTGTTGCGATTGCCGCCCAGCTGCAGCTGTGCATTCAAGCAGCAACAACACTGCTGTCGTCAACAACTAACTGTCTAACAAACAATGCAATTGTTCGTCCCACCTCACTCACGAATCAGTGAATGAATGAATTCGGCGGCGGTGGCTGGCTTTTACACTTTAATATTATTTGCTATGGACAACAGTTTTTATGCAAACAAGAAATACATAAATATTTTTTCCAATCGTTGTTAGCGTTTGTGTTCGTTTAATTTGCAAAATACTGGTTTCTGCAAAGAAAGAGAGATAACAAAAATTGTATACAGTTAGAACTTGTTGAAGAATTGTGTTTTGAACTTTTGAAACATATTTGCAGTACATTGATACCTATATACAGTAGTGGCCACATACTTAGGCTCACTGCTTCTTTAAAAGTTTTGACAATTTTTTCTCTATTTTTTTTTACACAAATATAGCATACACAACAACGAGAGCTCAAAGTTTCAAACTTGCCAAATTTCAAGAAATTTTCATCAAAGATTCAAACTCTTAAATTAGAATTTCTAGAAAAATACGGGTATGCAGTTTTAGTATAATATATTGTAAGTTTTAAGCGGCTAAAAATTTGCGAACATTGGGTTTTTTTGCTGACAGTGCTGCTCATTTTCTCTCATATAAAAATTTGTTGCGAACATACTTTCACACTTGAACAATATTATACTAAAATTGAACGGGCAGTATGCAGTCTTATAGCATACCCGAATTTTTCTATAAATCTAAAATTTTATATTTCGAAAAATTATTCGGATGAAAAACTGTATATTACTGCGAAAAAATCCTGTTTCGCA